GGATTGTGAGACAGATACATGTGTAAAATAAATAAAAGGTATGAGGGGAAGGAAAACTGATTTCAACAGTACAACCTGAACTGGCTTCTGTAGGGAATTACGGTTATAAAGACATTAAGATTTACTGCATATATTTTGAAAGAGAGTATATATAACTGAAGTGCTTCTCTTTCTGAAAAAAATTGTAATTTTGTGTGTGTGTTCCTTTGAGTCAGTTTTTTAACTCCTGGCAACTGCCTGGACTAGTTGCTGCAGTTTTCCTGGCAAGATTTTCAGAAGTGGCTTGCTATTGCCTGTTTCCTAGGGCTGAGAGGGACTGGCTCAAGGTCACCCAGCTGGCTTTCTAAGCAGGACTATAACTCACGGTCTTCCGGTTTCTAGCCTGTTGCCTTAACCACTGCACCAAACTGGCTTTCATCAATAACAGTCTGTGAAACAATAAAATGATTCAGTAAGTGATAATACCCAAATGACTTTCTTAGGGTTCAGAAGTTTGCAGGACTAGGCTTTGTTAGTACTTAGAAGGGGTCCACCAGGAAATTTCAAAACTGTATGATAAGACAAGGAAGTCAAAACACAATGCCAAATTACAACCATGTTGTCTTGAAAACCTGTCCATCAAGTAAACAGGAGTTGAGCTCAGGTTGATCACTATTAAGTAATATGAGTTTGTCATATTAAGGTATAATGAACAAAAATCCTGAACTTCTTTTATGCAAATTTGACATAAAACATCTGTATGAAGATTTAAGTCATCCATCAAATATTTTGTTCTTCTAGGGTGGGAGGTGGGCTCAATAGTGAAAGTTTACAAGTCCTATTAGCTCAGTTGCAAAAACAGGCTTTTTTACTTCCACATTCTAAAAGTGGGAAGGGCTATGATGTGTTTTTGAGGAATTTCAAGGGTTTTAAAGCTCATTTATTTTTCTCCTTAATCCTCCTCTGCAAGGGTCAAGACACTCATTTCTTTCCTTAACTTCTCTCTAATACACAGCAAATGCAAGAAAATGTGGCAACATTTTTGACTTGTCTACTAAGGGTGGAGGGAAGGTGGGTGGCAAGTGATGGCAGTAGGCTGCATGTGACACTTCATGTATCTGGACTGAAATGGGCCTTCCATGTGTGCCATTCCATGGTAAGCCAATACAACCGCATGCAAACATTTAGATACCCTGGTCAAATCTTATGTTTCAATGAAATCCCCAAAGTGAGAAGCACAGTACGCAATGCAAAGTTAAACACAACATTTTTCTGTACATTTAAATATATACTATTTATATGTAGTTGCTTACAGTTTCAAAATAAGAAAACAGTGAATACATTGGCAAGTGCAGAGGTTTAGACACCCAGCTGATTTAATGTGGGATTTTTTTATAACTTGTAAATAAGGCCTAAAGAAGTTAATAATTGTACAATTTACCAGATGAATGCAGTATCAGAGGTGAACAAATATTCTGGCTTCCAGCTAACAATTTCAGTTGTGAGAAAGACTGTCAAGAAATAGTAGCTATCTACTCTTTCTGTTATGTTAAACTTCAAGTTTGGTTTGCTTATACTTTTTTATGCCTTTTAAATGAGGTTTTGTTTACAGTTAAGAGTTGAGGTGTGATAAGTTGGGGTTTAGTTTTGTTAATTAATTTTAATATTTTAGAGCTGCGTTTGGACTTTTTGCTGACAATTGGATAAGGAGAAGATGTTACTTATTGGATTTGTTTATTACTAAGAGATGGCTTATGGGATGAAGAGTTTTATATTTCTTAATTAAGAGGGGTGAAGAAATTATGAAATTGTTTATTACTTATGATGAGGGTGGAATGTCGCTTTCTTAAAAGGGTTTTTTTTTTGCATTTTTTCCTTTTTTTTGCATTATCTTTTATTGTTCTTTTTAAAATCTTAATTATTGGGGAAAAAAAAGAAACAGCAGCTATCTAGAACAGTACAGTATTGCTTATACAACAAGGATCACATGGAAGAGATATTAGGAGTAAGACTTCTGTCTCACCAAGTAACGAAGGTCATTATCTAAAGCAAGATAAGCCTGACACATTTTGGAACAAAGTGCTTTATGGACTGATGCACTGTTCAGCCACAACTACACAAGATAAATTTGGAGGAAAATAAGAAGAAGCATTTCAAGAACACTTTGCCAACTGTTAAGCATGGAGTGGCTGTATTTTGCCTTGGGTATGTGTGGCAGTCAATGGCACAGGAAACTTTGTGGGTGAGAGAATGGATTTGACTGAATATGACCATATATTAAAAGCTAATGTCCCTGAGTCAGTGAAGAAATTAAAGCTAAAAGAATTTGGATATTTTAGCAAGAAAATGATACTTAACGTATCTCCATTAGAAGATTTCTAAGAAAGCTAAAAGTTTTGGAAGGATCTTCAGATTTAAATGTTATTGAAAATCTGTGGAAAGATCTCACACATACAGTCCATTCAGAAAGTATTCAGACCCCCTTCACTTTTTTCAATTTTGTTATGTTGCAGCCTGATA